GCAAGCATTGAGTAGCGCTTGTTGTGAAAACATGGTATCCAAACAGCCGAATTTGGATTCAGGCAGAATGCCACATTAACTCACAGAAAAGCTTCGATTTTTGGCCCAGACCAACTCCTTGTGAAACTCAAGGACACTTGGGTCTATGGCAATCCCTCGGACCCACTGAAGATGGCGTTGCTGGGCTGCATAGAACTCGACTTGAGCTAGCGATGCCGAATAACAAGACCATGTGTCGTAAGCAGGTGAAGCCTAAGAATCTAAAGCGCCGGAAATCCTCCACTGCCTTGAAGTTTTCAAAGCTAATATCCTAAACCATCCTGAGCCGCTACGGGGACTGCCCGAAATTCAAAACCCTCACCTCTCACTGCCGCACCGAAATCCTTCGGCAGAGGTTGGATTCAGAGCCCGTTGGAAAGAGGGTGTAGGGTTTGGCCTCTACAGACGGTTGCGGAGCTGAGCAGCAATGCACAGAAGCTGCTCATGAAACCTAGGACTTGCAGTTCATTTTCGGCTTATGCAGCCTTTACGAGTCTGCCCGACAACGGCATGTCTTCAACCATGCCAGAACCCCTCAAAGCTAAGCACCACGAAAAAGCCAAGGCAGTACCGTGCTATTCAGCGGGTGCCTGCGTGGCACTTTGGGAATCGTCAAAGGTTGCGTATCCAGGTGAAAGGTAGCAAACGGCGCAACACCCACAAGTAGAGCACGATGCAATGCGTGGGTACTGGGGACATGTCACGACGCATGTGGTTGCATCAAGTAGTGAAAAGCCCAGGCAACAGGGATTGTTTGTGGCACGGCACACATGTAGCGCATGGCGCCGGGCCTAGGGCGAATGTTGGAGGCGCATTGGATGTTTCGCAGTTCTTCCGTAGATGCGAAGGCCAAAGCGGAACAACAGCCCTTAATCCGCCGATCAAGACATGTGCCAACCGTACCGTCACCCCTTCACCCACACACCTTGTACAGCCAAGAAGGATGTGCCCCAAAACAAAAGGCCTGGCTGCGCTGCCTCGGCCGTGGAGAGCCCCGATGTGCAGCCACGGACCCGGCGGTGCAGCCACCTGGCCGACTTTACGCATGTCGCAGCCACTTAGATTTAGGTTGGGTTTCAAGAGGGTGTTCTAGGGTGGATTCCATGTCGCTTGGGGCTTGAGGAAACCGCGCAGAAGGCTTCAAAGTCCTTGGGCTGATTGTAATAGTTTTGTGCATGTGGCTGTACTGTAGAAGTTAGCCGGGGATGCTGCACTTGTTTGCTGTCAGGTACCCGGTGCAGTTGGAAGGGGATCAGGGCCGAGCTTGACGATCTTGATCTCAGGAATCGCTTCTGCTTTCAGATTTTGAGGATCCCGTTCAGACTGCACACCCCGCAAACAGTGCAGTTGAAAGGCAAGCAGGGGTGCCTCAACGCCTCAACATGTACCGCCAGTTAGTCCCTTGACTTGCGCTAGCACAGTGATCATGTTTGGTCAAGTCTGCTTCGAGAACCGTGGAAAGCTCGGACAGCAGTGCGGGATCCCTCTACATCATTGCTCTACAAAATCCTCAACCGCCACCAAATCAAGCCGAGAAGAATGGAACCTCCAGAACCTGCCCCACTTGTTGAGCAGCCTCTTGTAAGCCCACTTTGCTGAACCCGATCCCGCCGAGGAACATGACCTGGTTTTTGTTGAAGGCCCCGGAGCACACCTGGGGAACCCCAGGCCCAATGCACGCAATTGCCTGATTCGGGGAACTTTCTGTAGAATTTGGTGCTTGTTGGGCTTGACCGTTTCGTTTGCTCCAGCAAGTCAGCAAAGCATCAAAAGTGATTGGCTTTGTGTGGGTGCGCGCGCGCGCGCGCGCGCCACTTGGTTGATGGCACAGAGCTTGATGCACCAGTGGAGCCTTGCACTCAACGAAGCGATTTACTGCGCCTTGCTACTGCAACCTCTCCAACCTCTCCAGAGTCGACATGGGTCGACTTGTGTTTCTTGGTGTTTTTGTGTGTGGTGTGTGGGGTGTGTGTGTGTGTGTGTGTGCGACCTTCTGGAGGTCTCAAGGGCTTGGTTGATTTAAGGCCAGGCTATGAAGCATCTAATGCCCAAAGCCGACACAACTTGTGAAGAGGCAGTGTGCCATATTAGTATATGCTGGTGCTTCTCCCTGCCTGTGGTGGGATGCTGAGGGAATGGGATCGAGCCATGATTACAGGATTCGGTAGATGCGCTTTTTGCCTTTTTTTGCAAGCTTGAACCAGGAATCTCCGGCTGGGGCGGCGGCGACTCTTACAACGTCACTGTCTTCCGCCACGACGCTCGGAGTTTTGAGAAGATCTGACAGCTAGAGCCTAAGACCCAACAGTGCACCAAAAGGAGAGCACCCTGCTTCTTCTGCTCGACGCTGATAGGGGGTTGGAAGAGGAACTTAAGGGCGACGCGCCTGTTAAGTAGGAACAAAGCACGTGAGCTTGAGCTGAGAACCTCACGAATGAGACCTTCATGACTCTTGGCTGAGAAGTCCCTGGTTCGGCCACAGCATAAGTTCTATCATATCAGAGTTCAAGACACAGGAGACTTGGGAAGCAGATTCCATGGCTAGGCTTGGGGAGTAGTAGCTTCTTCCTTTGCAAGGAAGTGGTTTCGAACACTGGAAGACCCATAGCAGCATTGACCTTCCAACCTGTAAGGCACGTACAGAAACTCCTGTCAAGCTGTGTCAAGCTGCAAGTTGCGACGCAGTGAGCCCTTGGAAAGGCCAAAGGCAAGTGGCCAAAAAAATGGAACCCCTCGACCCCTCAGTCCTAGCACATCCAGTGCCCAGAAGCACCCTATGAAACCTAGGCTGCGCTCCTGCACGAGACTAAACGTTCATTCTGGCCGCAGCGTAAATTGAAAGCTTTGCCTGCAGGCGAGCGGCCGCATCATGGGCCGAGCAGCGCATCTTCAACGAGCTGGCAGCCAGAGCGCTGGAGGAGGGATGCAGGGATAGAAGCTTAGACGGATGAGTGACTGACCACTGACCGTCAATAGATTTGATATTGTGTGTGTGCTGGACCTTCAGAGCCTGCGCAGGAATTGGTGGTTTAAGGGGTTGGTCCTTGGGTAACTGTGTGAAAGTTTCTGAAAGAACCCTGCTGCGACAGAAAAGCTCAGGCTCGTGCCGCTAGAGCAGAAAGCAGCGGTTCTGATAAACTTGAGCAACATGCCCACCCCTGATCACTGCTCTGCCGAAACTCCAGGGCTAAAAAGCGGTGGCAGAGGAAGTGAGGTTTTGAAAAGGCGCCATGGACTCGGAACCCAAAGCAAACGGTGGTACTACCCTAGAAACAGTGCCGCGGATCTTATGCATCTCAGGTCTGGACTGGTTGGGATCTTTCGAAGCCTGAGATTGCATGAAGGTTGGCGCTTCTGAAGAGAAGCGCATCCGCGGAGGGGTGCGGCGTTCAAGGGCCTACGTTTGCCTGGAAATCGGAGACGTTCAGGGCTTGCACGACCCACTGAAGTTGTTCTGACGTGTTCATATATGCTTTTGGCATGCTGGTTTCAAATTCCAATTGATGTCAAAAGAAGAGGAGGGGCCGGCGGTCACCTCGCCGCATCCCTTGGCCAAGGAGGCTCCGGGGCTCCGGGGCTGAGGCTTCAAAAGTTGTGAGGAAGCGGTCTTCCGGGTCTTCCCTGCAGAGCTTGGTGAAGCTCGGGGGGTTTTGGTAACTTTACCTGGGTCCTCCCTCACCCGAGCGAGGGGCCTTCTCCATTCCTCACGCCATTGAAGCCTCGTGAACCGTAAAGTCCCACAATCACAAGGTGCGGGAGGAGCTGAGGCGGGGGCTTCTTTTGCTTCATTTGCTTGTTTGCAGGTTTGTGAGCTTGGGCGTCGACTTTCCTGGTGGATGCTTTGGTCTTGCAGGGTTAGCATAGAAGTTGCTATCCAGTCACAGTGCACATCAGGGTCAGGGTTTGCGCATCTGTCCTTCATGCGCGGTTCGCGCGGTTCGCACTGTGCACCAACCACCCAACAGACCCCGAGGCCACAGTCGGCTGGGCTTAAGACAAAGGTTCGTTAGGAGGCCAAGTCGCAAAGGGCCGCAAGCCGAACACCCCAGTGTCATAGTTGATTCCCGGAGTGGTTGCTAGCAGCCTGATTTTGAATGTGTCCCGCAGCCTGGAGGGCAGTGGAGGAGGTTCCGACGCCAACTATTCCTGCCTCCTTGGTTGAGACTGGGCTCAGACAGATGTCTCGTTCTCTTGCTTCTGGGCTTCAGGCCTAAAGACAAAGACACGTGTCAACCTACTGGGGGAAACATCGTCAGCCCAAAGCATAGCAAGATAGCTCCTTCGGCACTGCGAACTCCGTTACGGTAAATCTTACAGTCTCAGTCTTGAAAGGAGGGACAGCATGTGTGCAGGCCCAGAGTCACTATGTGGACCTTCTTGACCTTTCAGGAAGTGTCAGGCAGCACCCGTCTGCTGGCACGCAGTGGAGCGGAATTGCAGCTAGGCCGGAGTCTTGTTTGGGGTGGACGATGCGAAACATTGAAGGTTGAGATTTTGTAGCTTCCTGGCATGGGGGTGCTCAGAGATTGACCGGGCAACAGGTTCAGAGCGGAGGGAGGTCTGATGTAGCAACGATGTGGGATGAAGGGGGTTTGGCAAGCACCTCGACGAGGCATCCAACCAGGACCCTCCAAGCGTGAGGGCGACCAATCTTGCTTCAATGCAAGTTGGGTTGAGGTGACTCAGAGAGGCTTAGGCCTGCGCTTGCCAGGCCCCGACGGCTCCATCATTCATCTCGAGCTGCCCTGCTGCCTGGCAGTGACCTGGAGTCCGGCCAGCCCAAGCTGATTTGATCTGATTTGTACATGCACGCTTTATATACGTGAAGAGCCATCGTTTTGGCACACTACGGTTTGCCTGCCGTTCTGCCGCAACGATCTACAACATACTACAACACTCGACACCTTTTGAGCCTTTGCAGCACAAGAGGCTGCGGCATCTGGGCCACCGCCGACTACCCCATGGGCGCCTATGCCTACCAAACCTTTAACGACACCGAGTGGAAGCCGTGCCCTGGCTCACAATGGCAAATGCCTTTTAAACTTGAAGGAGCTGTGTTTTGTGATTGCTGCTCGAAGAGGGAAGAGGGGCTCGGCGATTCAGAGCTCCGACTTTGGAGGCGGCCGCCTTGGGCGAAAAGGCTCATCTAAATCCATAGGAACATTCCCCCCAGAGCAGCCCGAGAAGCCCCGAGAAGGCAGAAAAAAGTCCTCGAGAATCTCCAAAGACGCAAGCTAAGATGGCACACCCCAAAATCCTGAACTTGCAAGCCCTACCAGCAGCAGAAAATAGCAGGTTCACATACGCCTACTGCCTCGACCACCAGATGCAAGCTGGCTTCTCCAAGCCTAACTCGAACAACTTCTCGGAGAGCCGCGTCTGGAGGCGCGCGAGGTCGTGCAGAGGTGGCAGTGCAGGTAGGGCTCTTGTAAGATCTTATGAATGCTTTGAATGTGGGGTTCCAAGATCTTCGTGCGAGAGTGGCAAGAGTGCGAAAAGCAAACCCCACCTCTACGCAACCCCGGACCGTTCCGAGCTCGAGGCCCACTCTTGAGCACCTTTGGATCTCGGGGTCCTCCAATGCCTTCGACTTCGCTGTGGCGGAACTGCGCATGCCGAGGACTTTTCTGGGGCGAAGTATGAATAGGAAACTGGGGCACAGCGCTAAGGAGCAGCTTCTTGGCAAGACTCGTTGCGCCACCATTTTGCTGGCAACGCTGACCGGCAAGGGTTCGAGGGCAGAAAAGAACCCCAACAGTGCAGGCCTACCCGAGCACTTGCCAGTAAGAATACTTCGCGATAGAGAGCTTGTCGTGGCCCTGACCCTATTTCGGCTGCAGTCTTGTGGAATCCGTCGTGAAGGCAAGTAGCATCAAGTAGCAATAGCCGAGAGTTGCACCAATCCTTCAGAGCCGAAAGCCGGAGTCGCGGCCCCTGGGGGCCCCAAAGCTTTGCTTCTGAAAGCATTGCAGAGGAAGTCCAGCGAGACATATGGCGCCAGCGGCAGCACTCAGGGGGGTATAGTTTAGATGGCCGGAAAATAGCCCCGAAGCCTATGGAACGGCCCGAAAACACAGCATCGAGCCCAGCCTAAGAACCTGAAAAGACGGAGCACAAGATACCTCTCGTTTATCCGCTGCAACACGCAGGGCCTCAGTGTCCAACAAACTAGCCGTGCAATGGGCGCATCTCAAGCGCCCGGACTGAGGTGCACCGCACACGATCTTCGTCAACATCAGTGTCTCGAGGACCTGCTTTCTGAAGAGCCTATCCTTGTCATTCCTTTTCAAAGCAATGAGACGTATCCTTGCTTGTAAGAAGGGCCAGAGCAGTCTGCGAAGAGTCTGGCCAGTAGTTGGACCACGCATAGTATTGTGCAATGGGCTATCGGACGGCTATCGTGCATTTTCCTCAGGTTCCGGGTGGGTAATGTCCAGACGTCTGGCGCGGGGGGAAGAGCAGCCCAATCACCCCCGATTCATTGCGAACATGCCAAAGTCTTTAGTCTTGATTCTTTTTCTCGTGACCTTTAAACACACATCTCAGGCTGTAGACACAACGAACCCACATGCTCTCCCCCATTTCCGGAGGCCCGGCCCTTCTGGATCCACCCGCGAAGCGCGAGGCCCCCTAATAATCAACTCCTGAGCCATCCAAGAAAGGGTTTAGGGATGTTTAGGGTTTAGGGTACAGAGGAACTCACTGGACTTGGACTTCATCACGGTGGGCAAGCTGCCGACCATGATTGGGGAGTCGAGCTCGGCCACTTGGCTCGTGGGGGTTCGGGCTTGACTCGTAAGGCCCCTAAACCCTTATAAACCCCAAAACCCCTAAACTCTTAAAACCCCTAAACCCTTACAACCCTTTGAACCCCTATTGAACCCTCAAAAATTCCGTTGAACCCCCCCCATGTTGGCATCCCCGAGGTGGCCTTCCGCCCCTCGCCGGCCCTCAAACGCCACCTGGGCTCAGCCTGGCGGCTGCGGAAGCTGGGTCAGGCTTCTGCTCCTATAATGATAGGGTTTAAGGTTTAGCGTTGGTTAAGGGTTTGGGGCTTAGCTGAATCCTTCATGGGGGGATGAAGCCTGAGGCTAACCTGGGCTTTTCAGGCAGAGGCAGTCCTGATGAACCCGTAAACAGGAGATCGACCCCGAGGGTGTCCAGGACGGCGGCAGCCAGCCACTCGCCTCGGGCTTCGTGATCTTTAGGGTCAAGATTTTTGGAAGATGTCTCGGGCTCATGATGATGCTTGATGCGTTGATGAAAAAATTAAAAGCCCTCTGAGCACACTGAGCACAGTGCATGTGAGCCTAAGGTACACGCACGGCGTCTGGGGGGGCGCGACCGTCGACACTGCCCATGGTCACATGACACTGGACTCCTGGGATGCCATCAACATGAACCCCATCACACCGGACTTTCCGATGGGAGCCTTGGTCGCTAGGGGCTTCGTGTTCCAGAGAACGATGCAGCTTCACCTCTGAAGCCAGTACTTTTCCTGTTCGAGAGCTTGCACGCGCAACCTCCATTGCTCTTCAATGCAGGCATCCCATCATAGATGATGTGAGTGTCGTTCGGCCGAAATCAACCATAAAGTAGCTTGCGCACACATCCGTTGGACATGCTAAGGAAACCCGCTGCCAGCCAGCAGCCTGGTGTGCAAAGAGATGTGAGCGGTTGTCAACAGGGGCACGCACATGCGGGTCTGTGGTGTTCTGTGTCCACCACATGGGACCTTTCGCGCATTTTGGAAGGGGGGCAAGTTGAAATTAGACGTGCTGCCCACCTTCGACACTTCTGAGGCTTGTTGGCTTACGTATTGCCTTTTATGATCCAAAAAGCCCAGGCTATCACGAGGCGACCGCCAAAGCTGGAAAGGGCCTCTCGCGCTTGGCAGCAGGCAGCGTGGAAGGCCAGGCAAAGCACCTTTGTCATAGCGCCTGTCGTCTCAAGCCAGGCCACAACCGCATCCGAAACCCGAGCTTGTTGAGGCATGGCGGTGAACCTCCACAACAACCTTTGGAACACCAACTATGCCTTGCGACTGGCCTGAAGATGTACTTCGGGGGGTAGCTGGTAGTTGTGTTACTTTGTAAAAAATTCGACGACTCCGGGAGCAGCTGCTTTTAGAAGTTGTCCATGCCCGCTGCTCGGAGGCCCGTCCCTGACTGGACAAGACGGGTTTCCGCAAGCATGGGATGGCAGAGGGAGGGGCAAGTGGCATTGCCGAAGCTCTCTGTGTCATTGCCCCCATGTCTTCTTGTGGGGTTCAGGGGTGTGTTTCCTGCAATGAATACAGGAGGATAGAATGCCTTCTCCTCTACAGTTGCTGGAAGGGTGGATCGGAAATTCCAGGTATTATCCCTTTTTCGACCCTCGATTCTGTGCCGGCCCGTTGCAGTGCAGGAACAGCGCCTCGGCATAACAACCGAGTTTGGGCCTTGGGGGCGCATGAGTGTCGGGCCTGTACACCTCGGGACTGCGATCTTGACCGAGGATGCTTGAGGTTTGGGATGTAGCACCACAGACATCGGATTTGTAAGCTGCCGAACTCGACTCAGGACGTAGTGAAGCACTAGCCATCGTCGTTCATATGTCCTTGCGGAGCCCCATCTTGTCAAGCTAACCTTCAGTCCTCACGCCCAAACCGAACCCCCCCCCCCCCAAACAAGCTACGGTAACCGCGAGGCAACTCACTGTTCCGCTTCCGCCTGGGCTTCTCCCCCGATGCCACCTACACCTATGTTTGAGCCACGAGAAGGACCTATCAGTCACCATTGCACAGACAAAAACCTGAACGCAGCAGATACAGCATTCAACGCCAACATTGAATGAAACTCACGTTGGTCTTGCTCAATCTATGGATGCTGAAGACCAGGTTGAAGAGCACGACGTGCCAGCGACGGTGCGTCGATGTAGATAACACGCCGAGTGACCCTTCCTTGAATTGTGTGTTTCAGAATATGAAGTATTCGTTGTCAGACAACGTGATGCTAGGAATGGAACACATACCAGTGACCATAGCTTCAGGGGTGCTCTACTTTCAAAAGGTTTCAGGGTGTTGAAAAGGAGCCTCGTAGTTATTCGAGTCGGGGTAGTGGGCTGCTTTTCTTCGTTCACGCACCAGAACGTTTGGGTTATTGGGTTTGCTCGGAGGACGCGGCGGGTCCGAATCTATCGTCCGAGCATGCCAAGAACTTTGCGCGTGTTGCGGAGCTTACCCCGAGCTTGTTGGGCGCATACTTCTCGGCAATCGCCGTTCGGCCTGGACTTTCAATTACCCTGACGTAGCACCGCTAGATTCCACTAGATCAGGTTCGCACCTCCAACTTCTGCGATTTTTGCCTGTCTGGGACTTCGCATGTGATGGCATGACTTGGTTGTTAATTACTTTTGTTGTTAACCATTACGTGGCGCTGCATGTGTGGCATATCTATGCGCATCTTGTCAAGTATCACATTACTGCACTCGAGAAAGCAGAACTTGGTGTAGGTTCAGGGCTCCAGGCATTCGAAGCCGTTTGGGCTTCAAGTTGCAAAGATGCGGGCAGAAGACCTCGTGTCCCAGCAGGAGGCATTTGAAAAGAGCCCTGCCAGTTCCGTGCCAGTTGCATTGGACCAGGACAAGCATTCCACAAGGGAGTAACTTGAGAGAGTTGTTGTTGCAGAAGGTAATAGTATGGGAAGATCAATTTCCTGCCAAGACCTCCCCGCTTCCCAAACCACAACGCTACATCAGCTGAATGGTTTCATAGCCGCTTCACAGCCAGCTCCAGCCCCCGAATACCTTCAGCGTGAGGTGAATGGCCATGAAATTGCGCAAGCCCAAAAAGCCCTAATATGCAAGTCCCGATGCTGGCTCAGTGAGAGCTTGAATTTGTGAAAGGGCAATAGGAATCTGAAGCTGAGGGCCCTAAACCTCAGCAACCCAAGCCCAAACAGAAAGGCAACCTACCTTGAATTTCGCTCGTAATATAAGTATTCATGCAGTAGTCCTATCCTTCCAACCCACCTGTCATTGCCAAAGCCCACGAGAGATTCCTCAAATGCAGAGCAGCGTTCGGCCGTTGGAAGCTTGGACTGCCAGGCGTTCGCAACATCCATCCGTGCAGAGCTGGTTGCCGCCATGCTCGGCTGCTTGGCTTTGCCTTCGTGTGGGTGGTTTTACGGTTCGGCACAGGATGCGCGCATTGAGCACACGGCCTTCGGAGCCCCTCCCAAGCATTGCGTCTAGGAAGAGCTGCGACTCGCAACTGAGCCCAGGCCACTTATCCACCTGTGAGCAAGTGGAGGCACAGTGGCAGCTTTGGGTCTTGAGATTTTCCAGACCTTGCCCATTCGTCAATTTCTTGCAGGCCATACACGATGCCATGATCATGATTGCCGTCCACGGCGCAGATCTTACGAACATGCGCAGACCTCAGGGAAACTGAGGGATGTGACGGATTTGACCGACGTCACAACGCCCTGAATGCCATTCATGAATAATGGGATTCAGGCAACACTGCGTGATGCCTCATGGAATCTCGGGTGCGATGGCAGCGTGCAAATACTCGGGGCTTGTAACAGGCCCGGAAGCCCCAAGCACGACAAAGGTTGGTTACAGAAGGGTTGGTTCTGCGAGGTTGGTTCTGCGACAACACTCCCTCCATTTCCCTGTTGTCCCAGGATTTTCCTGCCACCCACTGCGGTCGTCCTCGAGCTTGGTGTGGAGTGTGAGCTGGAAGGATCTGGTGTGTCGGGCCCAGGATCTGGGTTCATGCTTTGCTTTCGGGCCGTGCTTGGGAATCGGTAGCACAATGACCTGGGCCCCCCTTCAAGCCAACTTGGCCGGCCCACTATGTTTATTCTACGGTCTCGAGTCGAGAAGTGGAAATTCAAGCTTTCCGTGCGCCGTACAGTGTCAGTTTAACTTTCAGTTTTTTCAGATGAGTCTGAAGGTCTGGAGCCGCTCAGTTTCGAGCGACCGAGCTTCATGCAAAGCAAGCGGCCAAGCATCATGAGCATCAGCTGGCCCATTGCAAGGCAAAGAGGCCCCCGCCGCACCAAACCCAACTTGTTGCCCCTGATGCTCGGCCGCTCGCCTTGCCGTCTTCGGCTTGATGACTGCCAAGGGCCCAGCTACGTGGGCATCAGTTGGGCCCCCTGGCCTCAGTTTGCGACCCGCACGGCCGGGCTTCACGAGCATCAGCTGGGCCCTTGGCGGCTGAAGCCTCGGTTTGCAAAGCGAGCGGCCAAGCATCATAGACATCGGCTGGCCCAGTTTGTCAGGCAAAGAGGCTTCAGCCGCCCATCACGGGCATCAGCTGGGCCCCCTTGCCTGTCGGTTTGCAGAGACAGCAGCCCAGCATCTTGGACATCAGCTGGCCCCCTTTGCGACGCCCATGATGCTCGGCCGCTCGCCTTGCCGTCTATGCCAAGGGCTCAGCTTCCGAGCATCATGGGCATCATGGGCATCAGCTGGGGCCCCCTGGCCGCTGAAGGCTCAGTTTGCAAGGCGAACGACCAAGCATGATGCAGGCTTGTTCGGAAGCGTGAAGATTTTTTGATCCCGGCTCTGAGGTTCCGCTTATTAACCCTACACTCCCCAAACTTGTTGCCCGTTGACATCTTGTACAATGCCAAGCCCAACTATGCTTCATTCGCGAGCCTTTGAAAAGCCCTGAATGCCTACGTCGCCTTTGCGCTGGTGATTTGTAAGGTAGACTCGGCCCACTGGCGAGGTCCAGGACACTTGCAGCCCCATGGGGCGCAGATGAGCCCGGTCGATTTTGTGCATAGGGTTCCTAAAGTGCAGTCGCTGCTGCCTCGCACGTGATCCGGCCAACGTTGAATCCCAGAGGGCAAAAGTGCAGCAAGGAGGGCATGTCAGGCATGTCAAAGTTCTTGCCCTTGGAACCCTGAGACTCCAGCCTGAAGCCTCAAGCCATCTCAAACCCCTGAGGACACAAACCTGCACAAAGCTTCGCAAACTCCTCAAACCTCAACGCTACGAGAAAGAACGAGAAAGAACCTGTGAACCTTGCCTTGCAAACAGTTCTGCTGTAAATTTCTGACTTTCAACGTGTTTTTTTAAGAGTTGCTTGGCCATAGTCGTGTCCGGCGCAGGTGCACGTTGCACCCGGCCGAAGCGCCAAGCATGTGTAGCTGCACTACGGCGGATAGTTATTTAGGGAAACATTTGTCTGCTTTCTCCCTTCGTATACTGCCTGCTGCAAAATGGGCATACATGCCCCAGTAGTGAGAGCCTGGATCCTGAGAGGAACTCTGATCAACAATTCTGTGCGGGACCATGCGTCTCATTTGCTGCTTGGTCGCAAGCTGGTTCTGTACCTCTGGGGGAAGCTCCGGGACTCTGGGATCGTGCTTGTTTACGCTTTAGGCCCTCTAGGCTCAAGACAGACTTGGAAGAGAGAGAGAGAGAGAGAGAGAGAGAGAGAGAGAGGGAGAGAGAGAGAGATGCCCAGGTGGCTGAAGCAGCAGCAGGAGGGGTGCGGCGCTCAGCACGGCGAGCCTGCCCAGTTGCTGTTTCGTAGTGCTCAAAGCCTAGCAAGCACGGGGTGAACCAATCTGATGCAAAAGCAGGATTAGGCACATGTGCCGCTCAAGGATGTGCCCGAAGCCTGGCGAAACTCTGGATCCGGAGCGGTGCTCGACGAGTGTTTGAGAGACGCATTGCATGGGGAGCTTGCGCTTTATTTACGTAGTCTGTCTGGTGCTCCCAAAAATACGCAAGTCTATCATTACACATGACGCCCCAGACAAATCATGAGGCTGGGGGTATCCCTGTAACGCTCGTCTTGACTGAGCTGCAACTGCCTGCCAATCCTACAAACCCTACCACGTAAACCCGCTGCACCCTTACCGACAACAAATGCGAAACCACCTTGGAGCTCCCGAGCCCACGTGCTCGCAACATTCGTTTATGTCTATCTATCTTAGAAAGGTATATCTGTGTAACAGTATAGGCTTCTGCTTAATGTTCTACACGCACAATAGAGAAGCGGGCAGAATTCGAATTGTACATGGCCAGGACCAGTGGCTGCAAGGCAGCTCTGTGGGCTTTCGGATGCATAAGGGAAGCTGGGATTCGGTTGCCGCTTTCCCTTCGTCGTCCCGTCATATCAACTGAAGCCTTCAAAGCACACTCTTGGGGCCCTCTCGAGATTTGCACGGGGTTGTTGTAAAGCTTCTATATGTGAGGGTTGTGAGGGTTCACCAAGAATGGCATTTGTTTTGGGATACTGGAAGTGGAAGAGTACATGACCAGATTGGGGTGTAGAGAATCCTCTTTTGGGCCTTGGAGCTGTATCAGCATTTTCCGAAAGCTTTCAGTTTCAGCCCCACGGGATCCTGGTGCCAGGCTATCCGATCTCTCAGTTCGCCAAGCTGGCCAGGCAGGCGAACTTGTTCTACACTGCCCGGCCCACAGAGGTCTACATACCGAATGGCTTGAAAGTTGCCTGCAGCTGCAAGCCAGGTATTGAGGTAGTAGAACGACATGGAACTGGCAACTTCAGCGGTTTTGGCTCGGGGCCACCTCGACTCCAGCTATCACAAGCCCAGACAAGTTAAGGCAATTATGGACTGCCACGATGTGGACTGCCCATGGCTCAGAATGCTCAGCATATGAAAATGATTGTGGAATTGTTCGGGGAGATTCGCGAAGAATGCTCTGGTTCATCGGTGATTGGAGTACTGAAGTGAAAATAATGGGTGAACCAGTGATCAGGAATCCTGAAATCTTACGGAGTCTGCCAGTGGGGTCCGAAGTTGGACAGACGGATGTCGCTGTTTGTCCAGGGCGGGTGCAGATACCGCTCGCTTGCTTGCCCCTCCTCCTTTTAGCTTGGAAACTGCTTTGAACGCCAAATTTGGCCGCTTGTTTCTATGAGGAGACGCCAGCCAAAACCAAAATGTTTCGGCTCAAGGGATCTGAACATCCTCCAGGGACAGCAGCTGCATCCAGAGCGTCCTAGCCAGTGGCGACCTCAGCCTGTATGCATATATGCTTTGAGTTGGGGCTGAGTCCATTGTGCTTCCCTGAAAAGATCTGCTTCCAACTGCCCGCTACTCTCACGACTGCCACGGTGACTCCAAAGTGCGTGGTCAGCTAGCTGCTGCTAGGTAAACCTTTGCTTTCTCGAGACGCTCCAATGCAATTCTCGTATCCTTGCAATGTCGGAGGTTGCCATGTCTGCCACAGAAGTCAAGCTCTTCGGGAAGTGGACCTACGAAGATGTCATGCTGTCCGACCTCAGCCGCTCTGCGAAGTACGAGTGTTAGGTTTATAAGTCGACCCCGCTGGGGGGGAAGCCGTGCCAAACCCATGTGCCGCAGAGTTAGGGCTGCTTTCTCATATCCTCAACATACATGTTTTGTTCATCAGACCCTGAGTTTTGCCGTCTTATAGTACTGCGCACATGGTTTTGGGACATTTTGGGGTCGCTTTTTGTGCTGTAACCCCGAAGCTTCCGATGGAGTCCGGCGTGGGCCCAACTGCACAACGCCTGGAATAACTCACTTGCCGCAGTATATATCTTCGGGCATGCACTCTGCTGGGAAGCACTTGAGGGGCTCGCAGGGTTTAAGGTCTTGCCAACGTGTAACACGGCTTGACTGATCAGCAGTCCCTTTACCGGAGCTCGCGCGCAGGCCTTGCGCAAGCTCGCGCGAGTACTGTGTCAACATGCCATAAGAATCTCCTTGAACCCATCCCAAAACCGTGCTTGCCAACCCTGCAATGGCCATAAAACCATCCCAAAACCACCTTCCCAAGCCCATGTGCCCTTGCAGTTTCATTCAAAGCCGCTTGCATATGCTGCTTGAACGCTTCTCAACCCACTGTGCACAGCTCCGGCGGCATTGCAGTTTCGCTGTTGTTCGGCTGACATTACACCGCCTGCGGTGACTTCCTTTATCTGCCTTACTGCGCTGTGTGCCGCAGGGGTTGGGCTGACTTTACGCCGGGTGGGTCGAGATAAACCTGACGCTCGTAGCAGTCATGGCGTGAGGATGGCGTAATCTCCGCAGCTCTCCGATCCCTCGACTCATAAACCACCTTGCAGAATGGACTAAACGATGCTAAACGCCAGGCCTAAGACCTCGCCTCTAGTAGCGAGCTCTATCGGCTCGTGAGGTTTGGTTGACTACATCGCAGTGAACAAGCCCCTTGGTCAGCAGAAGCAGAATCTAAAGGTGGTGGTCTTGTTCTCCCAACTCTTCCGAGAACACAATGCATGGCATTATGTCACCGTTGCTTTTGTTCATTGTTGCTCCTTCCTGGTTGGCGAGAGGCAGGAAGAGACCAAAAGAAGCAGTCAGGCAACAACAAAGACACTGCGGGCCTGAGGACCAGAAGCCCCAAGCTCTAAGCCAGACCTCCCTCGCGGGGAAGCCTCAGCCAAGCTCTACCTCCATAATTTTGTCGTGCATTTCACATTGCGCGTCTTTCAGGGCTGCCCAGTCCTTCCTTCCGCACACGCAGGGGCGGTATCAGATGAGGCACGGAAGGGCACGAAGTTTCCAGTGACGCGCAGAGGAAATTGCTTACGTGCGCAGGTTTTACGTTTTAGGGCCAGTCAGCCGCATCAAGAACCCAAGCCGAAGCTCCGAAACCCGTCTGAAGGCGATTCCGCAAGGCCCTGTGCCCCATTGTGGAGCGCCTTTGCTGCTCAATCATGATGCCCGGACCTTACCGCTGTGTTTCATCACAGGGCTTACGGCTTAGGGCTTAGGGCGGTTCAGGCTGTGTTCATGGATTTGCACTCAAGGCGTCTCCCTAGCCCTAGCTCAGGCAAACTTGTTTTTTTTGTGTTGGGGGGGGGGGGGTGGGGCTGCGCGCCAAACATGAGAGTCATGAGAGCAAGACCTCAGCTTGGCTGTGAGATGGCACTATGGACTTACGGACGTACGACGCACCTGTAAGTGCCGCTTGCGAACACGGGATTGTTAACCATGAGAAGTCGGGGGGCATTCATCAGGAGCTCCTTAATTGGGGCACCAAAGTCCCAAACACTGCCGTGGTCTAGAGCTTTAACAGGGCCTCCCTGCGCCAGGCATGGAAGGAACAACGGCCTCTTGGCGGAATTCGCTGACTCCAAGCTATTATACTACGCCCAGAAGCTTGAAACATCCTGAAACCTTTTCTAGCCTGAACTCCAAACAATTCTGTCGGAGAGGGTGCGAGGCAAGCAACAAGTAATTTATACTATTTGTTGCTGGGGCAGTTGGGCCGGTTCTCAATGCCATTCTCGCTCCTGCGCGCTTGCTCTAAGGAGTTTTTCAGGCTGCGACTGCGTAAGCTATGTTGGACCCAATAACATTCCTCTACCAAGGTCACCAGAGCTACAGAATATCCATTCGGGGAAGCATGTGCAGGGGTCAAGGTCTCGAAGGTTAGGTGGCTAGATTTCAGTTTCAGACAGAGCCTTGTTGTGTCTGCCAGATTTGCGGAACAGGTCGGAATGAATGGCCGACCAACCAACGTGGAAGTTTGAAGGCTTCTTCGGGGAGGAGTTGCACATTCAGCCTTCAACCCCGAAAGCCTGAATGTGCACCACCTTATGCTCAAGGCAAGAAGCTCATGGCCGTGCGCATTGTCAAGCATGCCTTCGAGATCATTCACCTCCTCACCGACAAGAACCCCATCCAGGCTCCAACAACCCATACGCCCAGGAGCCTCGAAACACCCGAAGCACTGGAATCTCCCCAAGAGGTCACGAGCTCCCCGGAGCTTGAATCAGGTATGCCCGGTATGCCCGGTCAGGATGATCTCAAGCCACAAGGCGAGCTCAAAGCTCTACACAAAGCATGACAGCCATAAACTGACATGCCTGAGCCATACAGACAGCAAGTTGGAGTATGGGGTGTGGTTTGAGTAGAAGGGAGTCCATGCAGTTGTCAGCAAAGCGGAGGATTAAGTTGACTTGACTTTAGGCACTATGACTGCGCACAATGTCCTACTGGATGAATTGCAGAATCTGCTGCCCGATCTGAGCGGTCTGCTCCCGACGTAGATTGTCTTGACTGGCTTTCAGTCGGGTTCAGTTCGGTCAGGGGAGCTTAAAAACTTCGACAGCTTTGAGAGGGGCCGCGTAACTTGGGATGTGTGTCGCGACTGTGGAAAAACACAGGTCTTCGTGGATGCCGTCAAGAAGCTTGGCTCGCAGAAACCCAGACTAGCACCCTTCGCAGACTCCTCTGTGTTTCTCCGTGAACGGGCCAGCTCGGGTCAGCTCGGTGTTATGAAGTCAAGATAGTTAGACGCAAGACTGGCTCAGCCTGTGAGCACCGGGCCTCTTGCCAACTTCTCCCGAAAGGGCACTGCTGAATACATCACTATCACTGAGGAATGGCGGTCCTCGTGAGGACTCCACGCGAGTCGGATCCGCGGGCGTTGTGCGACGACAGGCCAGGCGAGTTTTCTTTTGGCCATTGTCAAGCATCCACAGAACAAGGGGCTAAGTGACTGCTTGCTGATGTTCCGGGGCTATTTGGTCGGTACTTCACACAAGACATGCTAGGGATGTGGGCCAAAGGTGCTCCAACCCCCAAGGCATAAAGACCTAAACCGTAGTTAGCCTCGAGTTGGCATCAAACAGCAACCATGAATGTGTGAAACGTCGAGATGAAACGGGTTTTGACATTCTTGTGGATGGTCGCGGATGTGGATGGTTCGCGGATTGCTATTTGCTATCTTTCTAAAGAGCAAGTGTACTCGGAATCTCTGCCTTCCAGGCCAATCTCGGCAAACAGCGATGTGTTTATGGAAGGATTAATTTGGGTTCAGGGGGAGTACGCCTTCCACCCGAACTCATGCGAGCACATTCTGGCAAGGTGTGCAGCAAAGCTAAACCAAACATCGATGGACAAACATGTACGTAAGTCCTAAAACCCTGAAATGCTTAGTCACTAATAAGTACCCTTTCCTGCAACCTGAATCGACGCAGCCAGCCGTGCCAAATCCCAGGCAGTTGATGTGTCTCCTCTGCGTCGGGTGAACCAGGCGCTGGGACAAAAATCACCTTTGGGACTTCGGGCCCTGCAAGGTCCTCCCCAACAAAAACACACACAGCAAGTCTAGCGGCTACTCTAACGTTACGGGGCTTCACCAGCATTGACCTGACGATTGCCAGGCCGCCCATCTTTCTTCCCGAGTTGTCAGCACTGCTTGATCCTCCACCTCTCTTCTTTGATTGACATGTCTGTTGTTGTCTTGTGTCTTCACGGACCATGTGCTGCTCTTGGCAACTGCCTTAATGTTTCACTGGGCTTTAGTTTCGGAGGCTCCATGGCGGACGTCCGGATCATGAAACCATAAGAAGTGTCTTTGGGTCTGGCTTGCTTGAATCACTGAAGCTTAGAAGTGCGGGTCACAACACAGCGTAAAGCACAAGATCTGAAGCTAAGAGAGTTTAGCGCTTAGCAAGACCGCTTGTCCGACTGAAGGGGTCAAGGACGAGAGTAGGATCCGTAGGAGGGCCAAGTGCCTGTACTAGATAGAGCGAACGCTCTGACTGGCGGTGACTGAAATGATGATGACTGGAATGTGGCTCTTGCCCTTAACTCTAAACTATGCCTTACCAGGCGGAGTTGGGGCTTAGGTAGAAAGGCTTAAGTTTCTTTGGGACATTTTCGTGAAACCGGGACCAAAGCATCCAGAACAGAAAATGAGCGTGAGATTTGGTGAGAGCAATAGCAGCTGGTATTCAGAGGCCATCTACCTTATCTGCACGGGAGCCCGCAACAGCGCCTTCCGTGCCTTCGGTGCAAAGACCATTTGCCTGTTGATGCTCACACGAGTGATTTTCCTATCATGTTACAAGACGGGATTGCATGATGATGGCTACCTGGAACATCTACGACTGGCTGCTGTATGTGTCGTGTGTGCAGAAATGCTGTTTGTTCCAAATGCTGCCGGCTAGGTGCTGTTTGCACCTACCGGAGAAATGGAGACCAATTGAGAGATCAGTATCCTTCCATTTCCTTTCAAAGCATCCGGTGTTGAGGCAATATCAAGTCTATCTCCGAATGCCTGGCGGATGAGATCATGAACGCCGCAACTCGGTTACATGAGACATGGATCGAAGCTCCCTTTCTGAAACTCCGTGGAAAATCTCAGGATTTTTTAAAGGGACCCACCAAGGCTGTTTACATTCGTTGAGCTTGCTTTGGTACGGGATATTGCCTCGATCCCTTTGCTCCTGCCGTATGCTTACAATGCTGCCTTCGGCCCGAGCCCCTGGCGTTGCTTGACAGGTCTCATGTTGTGGTGGAGCCCGTTCCTTCCTAAACCCTCAAAAGCCTGCGAAAGCTCTTTCCTACATCCTGGTTGCCAAAGGCCAAAGAGTCGTCCAACAGTGACCTGGCAGCACAACTTGCGGTTTCGGCTGCCACCTTCCAACGCATGATTGCCCAGGATGCGTGGAAGTTTCTAAAGTACATGTGGGTGAACTCGGTCGCCTCGTAACAGCTATGGTTTTGGCATCAGCCATGCCCTTTCAGAGATAGAGTTCCCGGTCCACCACCGAACGCCGTGTTTTCCTGTAAGTGACATTCCACCACTTACCCACCCGTGGGCTTGGGGGCTCCCAGTCACTGCCAGCCTGACCTTTTCGCAAGGCTATGCCATCAAGAAGAAGGCCTGACTCATCCAACCTAGATGGGGTTGGTTTGGGTTGGTTGCTAGCATGTGGCTGCTCAGTTGTGACAGAACCTTGCATGTCGGTTTGACTTCGAGAGTTTGTTCTCACCATGAACTGCGCAAGCACGATTTGACTGCATAGTGCGCATATATATATATATATATTTATTTATTTATATATATATATATATATATGCTACCCCCCCTCCCCGCCGGCGCCTAGGTTTTGCTGCAAAAGTTAGCTTTCTGCATCGCATTAACGAACACGTGCTGGAAGAATTTTACAAGGACTATCGAGTGGATGATGCTGCCATGCACGTGGGCGAAAGCGCGGCAAGGGTGATTTTACTACATTGAACTGACTAAATTACCCCATCCTTTATTTCGTTAATACTCTTTCTGAATTAGATTCAATGATGTTTTCACCCACCTCGAAGTAATCAATTCACTAAATTTAATGAACCACGAGTGAGATTCAAATGTTCTAGTGTGCTACATTAAGTAAAACACGCTTATTCGGAAACCTGATCTAGTTTTGCTTCATTTAAGCATGAATTAAATTAGCTAAAATATGTTCATTGTTCTCGCACACACACACACAGAGTACTTAATCTAACGAAGGGCTTGTTGTTTCTTGAAACTAATTTAATTCAAGTAGTGTCAATAGTTTGATTAGTTTCTGACGTGTTAAGGTCATGACTTTAAGCTTAGAAGACCATTGACTAAATGAGTTCAATGAAAAAGTTAGTAACGATAAGTACGTATTCTCAACTTAGCTAATGTAATTCCAGGGGCTGAATATGGTTATTTAAGGGTCAAATAATTTCATGTAAATCAGTAGACCGCTAACTCAAAGACATCAATGAAATAAATCAATTCAATCACGATGCGGTAAACAAATTTTTGTTGAAGTTGACTTAGTTAAGGGATTCCAATCGCTTAATTTCTTTACTGAGGGGTCAAATAAATCAATTAATTAGCTAAATCAATTCAATGAAGCTTAATATCTAAATCGACATAGTTGCATATGATTGATTCGCTTGCTTCCTGTTCAAACTGTACTCTCTCTCTGAAAACCTACAAAACTAATACTGGGGGCCTGTACAGCCACGTCTCTTCCAAAGATTGGGTTTTCAGGGACAGTACAGCAATTTCAGCACCTCAGGCCTTCAAAGTGCTGTGCTGTCTCTATAAAAACCAATTCTGGAGGCCTGTGCAGACAGGCCCTCTTCCAAAGATTGGTTTTTTAGGGACAGTACAGCACTTTGAAGGCCTGAGGTGCTCAACGTGCTTGAATTCATCAGGAATTGAACAGAGCCCTTACCTGGGCGCTCCGACTCCAGTTGTAGTCTAGCTCTCCTTGTGCTTGCATCCGCAGTTTCACCCGGCAGACAGAATGAGCTGATGCTGTTGTCGGTTTGTGCCGCAATGTCAATGCACATACGAACGGCCTACCGGATATTGACGAATTGCTTCACAACTTCCTCAATATACCACCTCAACAGCATGTTTTCTTGCATGACTTTTTGCCCTGGTTCCCCGGAGAGTACTCTTCTTGCGCTGCCTGAGACAACGCATGCTGAGCGCTAGACAGTACAACCTCGCAGCAGAACATGGCATAATCTGACCTATGCGATATTTTCTTGAGATGCCGATCGCTCAAAATTTGATTCGATTAGGCAAGAAAACCACCGATGCTGCCCGTTTGAAGAAAAAAGAGCATGCAGTCGAGGGCCGTCAATGCACCGGGGCTGCTTGTTCCGTGCTTTAGTTGATCCAATTCAGGCTTTCGGAGCTTTGCATTGATAGTGGTAGTAGTGGTAGTCGTGGTAGTCGTTGTCGTAGTCGTCGTCGTCGTCCCCGTCGTCGTCCCCGTCGTCGTCGTTGTTGTCGTAGTCGTCGTCGTAGTAGTAGTAGTAGTAGTAGTAGTAGTAGCAGTAGTAGTAGTAGTAGTAGTAGTAGTAGTAGTAGTAGTAGTAGTAGTAGTAGTCGTAGTCGTAGTCGTCGTAGTAGTAGTAGTAGTAGTAGTAGTAGTAGTAGTAGTAGTAGTAGTAGTAGTAGTAGTAGTAGTAGTAGTAGTAGTAGTAGTAGTAGTAGTAGTAGTAGTAGTAGTAGTAGTTAGTAGTAGTAGTAGTAGTAGTAGTAGTAGTAGTAGTAGTAGTAGTAGTAGTAGTAGTAGTAGTAGTAGTAGTAGTAGTAGTAGTAGTAGTAGTAGTAGTAGTAGTAGTAGTATGCAAGGTGGGAACTCTCCTAACCTAACTCAAACCCTTTCACTCAAAGCAAGCAGGGCGCGCGCTCTCTTTTAGCACAGCGTTGCTCGCTGGTCACGGCTTGAGCCAAAATTAGAAACGTCACACTACACTTGCAACTACAAACTACACAAAAGGCAAGCGGCTACGGAAAGCTAACTACATCGGGGGCTACAGGGATACTGTACAGAGGTCTAACCTTCACAGTCGCCCCCATCCCTGCACTGCTTTCAAAACGAGCCGCCCTGCGTACCACGATGCCACCACCAACATGGGGTGCATCGGGCATGAACCGGGCTTGAGCACTCTGGAGTTTTTACCTTCCAGGCGGGCGAAGCGCTCCGTGCCCTTTGGGAGCGGGCAGTCGACACCCGTCCAGCATCAAGCGTGACGCTGGCCTCGACTATGTCTTGTGCCCACTGGCCCGCAACTTCAGCCAGGCTCTTTGCAGGACACATCCCTTTAAGGTGCCCTGAAAATCCGCAATGAGCGCAGATAGGCAACCTATCGACGTTCGCCTCCAGGCCCCGTGAGCTGGAACCAAAATTTCGTGGCCCAGTCCCACCCGTAGGGTTCGCACAGCAGGCCCAGAACCACCCAAAGGATCCACGCCAGGGCGAATCCTTTGTCCAAAAAAGCCCATCCACTCAGTCATCTCTGTCGCCGTCACAGCGATAACATCGATAACCAAGATCGTGTTCCCCGTGGCCGCGTCCACAACTTCTTCTACCCGACTCCAAAGTTGCGTCGCGCCGTAGAAAAACAGACTGCTCCCACCGATCGTTACCACAACTTCGGGGAATCCTGGGTGCGCGTAGGGGTGGTTGTTGTCGGCGCCGGACTCAGTGTGGAACGACGTGGGCCGGAGGCGAAACGCTCTCACAGCCCCACGTCGCACCTTCACTTCACGGTTCCAGCGCCCTTTGGGTACCTCCTTGCGCTTTGCTTTCTTGCGCTTGCGGACTTGCACCTCATTTTCGCCTTCGGCAGAGGGTTCAGGAGCTTCTGCCTCGGGTCGAGGTGTGCTACACTTGAAGCACTTAGCTCGACCTCGTAGGTTCTGCACACCGCACCGAGGACACGTCCAACCAGGATCCGTCTCAAAAGCCTTAGCCGCTCGAGCCTTCGCCTTCTTCGTCGGTGTTTGCCCGTGGCTTCGCGAAGAGGGCTCCCTGGGTTTCGCGGCCCAGTCCCAGAAGTCACTTTCATAACTTCCTTCGCGCTTCTTTTGACGGTACCATAGGTTGCACTGCTGGCGGATCTCGCCACGGTCTGGCATCACGGCTCCGCAGCAGGCATTGCATACCCAGGTCCCTGGTGGGTACGTGATCTCCTCCTCCTCCTCCTCCCTGGCACGGCGCTGGTACTTTGGGTCAGCTTCAGCAGCGTCACGGAACGGCCGCGGGCGGAGCTTCACTCGGTTGGCTGCTTGCGCAGCCCCGTGCCTTGCCGATCTCTCGCGGCCCCGTTCTCTCTGCAGCGCCACGCCATCGCCGGGAGCCTCCCCTTTTCTGATGGCGGAGATATCAGCAATTACCTTCTGCTGACTGCGAAGGTCTCCGTCCTGGATCCCCAATCCAGTCGCTCGTGAGCCCCATCCATTCGCTCGCCGCCTCGCAGTAATCCTCCGGAGAGAATCCTTCCGCTTCACTGCCGAGCAGGGCGCGAAACGCTTCCCTCGCTCCAGCAGCTTGGCCTATATCACCAAAGACCGGTTGATGGACTCACGAAGCTCCAAGAGGCGCACCTTGGCCTCCGCCCCCAAGCCCTCGTAGGCCTCGTAGTCTCCTACGGGTCCTTCGGCAACCGAAGCGAGATCTGCATTCGCTTGGGCCAGGGCCGTTCGAAGGGTAAGAGTTGGGGTTGAACCGCCGGAGGCTATCCGTCAGCGCGAACCAAGCTGGAGATCAAATTTTTCGCAGGTGTCCCGTCGATCGCCCTTTTCGAGAGCCTCGGCAACGTCCTGACAGGTCTCCGGAGGCGCTTTGTCCTGCAGCGCATTCCTGACTCGATCAGCTACTTCCGAGTCTCGGTAAGCAACGCCGTTAATCATACGTTCGCTCCGGATCGTATGATCATCGACATAGGCCAACCATTCAGACGCTGCTCGACTCCGCCTGTTGGACCCACGGGCGTAGACGCGGTCCATCACGTACGCAAACGCTTCTGGTCCGTTGACCGGTCCAAAGGTCAAGCAGGTCGGTAAGAACTGGCCGGACCTGGTTATCACTGCTAAAACGCGACGAGCCCTGTCGCTATTCTGCAATTGGTTAAAACCCGTCATTGCATCGAGCATTGAAAGGTACAAGCTCCCTGCGGACTCCGCTATCACCTCCCAACTTTTACGTCTTGTCTTAGGTTGCCAAGCAAGATAAGAAGGTAGACGCCGTGACCTCGGGGGCTGCCGCACATATACCATACGCAAGCTTTGCCTCGCGAGCCATCCTCTTTAAGCCCTTCCCCTGGACGCCTTGCTCGAAAGCTTCGGGTGCTCTCGAGTCACCGTGCGCTCTCCAAGAAACGCAGAGCTGCTCAGGTGTTGGACGGCCTTGGTTCCCTTCAGCAAAAGAACGAATAAAACCATCTAAACTCCCACAGGCTCCTACCCTAACAGCGCGTCCTGGCACATGTACGGTATCGGCCTCCTGCAGCCCGGAGCACCGCGCGGAACTAGAGCGCCTGGCTGCGGCCACGTAGACCGAACCAACTCTTCCAAGACAGGCGGAAGCAGAAAATGGCAGCGCTCAGCCCACTATTTTCCCTATCCTCGGTTAAATGTTGCATGCCCCTCTTGTGGAGAAGTGGCCGGGGCAGCCTGAATTACGTGCTGGAAATGTGCGCACGTGTCTGGGTGGGGGTAACGTTCAAATTTGAATTCTGTGTCTTATGAATTCTGAAGAAAAGTCGCCCTTCAGATCATTGCTCGACAGGCTGCGGTAGAAACACTTGTCACCCCGTCGCATGTTGTCATGTGACCGCTCGTGCTTTTCATATCACAAGATTTCTGACGACACCATCGAGAAGCTTCGGGATCTTCCTGTCGCTGGATGACGACCCTCGGGGCGCCCTCTCAGCAGCGGACTGAGCAGCAGCCTTCCAGTTCACCGCCCAGGCAGCAATTCGAGGCCCTTAGGTGTAGTGGTTGCTACAGGGATTGCAGTGGCGTAGTTGCTGAGGTGGGATGTCGACAAAGCCCTGGAGCGGTTAGAGGTCGAGGAACCAATCCGAATCGAAATGAGGCCATGGTCGCAGTTCAGATTTGCAGCTGTGTAACATGTCCGCAGCATGTTGCGGCAGGCTGCGGCTTCCTTTTGTGTTTGTGTGCACAGTCGCCAACATCAAGAATGGTTTTCAGCACGTTGCAAAAAATGCAGACATCCGACATCCAGCAGACCTCACTGTATCTCACTGTTAGCTTTCGCGAAGCTGATACCGTGGAGTCCGCAACACCCAGAGCAACACCAGAGGGCCCGTAAGGCTCGCAGGGGCCAGTAGAACCTGCAAGGCCCGCGTAGGAAAAGTTGGGCTAACCCTGGGCAGCTGATGCTCATGATGCTCGCTTAGTGGCCCGTGCTCGGGCAAACCCTGAGCAGCTGATGCTCATGATGCTCGCTTGGTGGCCCGTGCTCGGGCAAACCTTGAGCAGCTGATGCTCATGATGCTCGCTTGGTGGCCGATGCTCGGGCAAACCCTGAGCAGCTGATGCTCATGATGCTCGCTTGGTGGCCGGTGCTCGGGCAAACCCTGAGCAGCTGATGCTCACGATGCTCGCTTAGTGGCCCGTGCTCGGGCAAACCCTGAGCAGTTGATGCTCATGATGCTCGCTTGGTGGCCCGTGCTCGGGCAAACCTTGAGCAGCTGATGCTCATGATGCTCACTTGGTGGCCGGTGCCATGATGCTCGCTTGGTGGCCGGTGCTCGGCCGTGCTCGGGCAAACCCTGGGCAGCTGATGCTCATGATGCTCGCTTAGTGGCCCGTGCTCGGGCAAACCCTGAGCAGCTGATGCTCATGATGCTCGCTTGGTGGCCCGTGACTGATGCTCATGATGGCCCGTTCTCGGGCAAACCCTGAGCAGCTGATGCTCATGATGCTCGCTTCGTGGCCCGTGCTCGGGCAAACCCTGAGCAGCTGAGGCTCATGATGCTCGCTTGGTGGCCGGTGCTCGGGCAAACCCTGAGCAGCTGATGCTCGTGATGCTCGCTTGGTGGCCGGTGCTCGGCCGTGCTCGGGCAAACCCTGGGCAGCTGATGCTCATGATGCTCGCTTAGTGGCCTGTGCTCGGGCAAACCCTGAGCAGCTGATGCTCGTGATGCTCGCTTGGTGGCCGGGGCCTCGGGCAAACCCTGAGCAGCTGATGCTCGTGATGCTCGCTTAGTGGCCCGTGCTCGGGCAAACCCTGAGGAGTTGATGCTCATGATGCTCGCTTGGTGGCCCGTGCTCGGGCAAACCTTGAGCAGCTGATGCTCATGATGCTCGCTTGGTGGCCGGTGCTCGGGCAAGCCCTGAGCAAATGATGCTCATGATGGCCCGTGCTTGGGCAAACCCTGAGCAGCTGATGCTCATGATGCTCGCTTGGTGGCCCGTGCTCGGGCAAACCTTGAGCAGCTGATGCTCATGATGCTCGCTTGGTGGCCGGTGCTCGGGCAAACCCTGAGCAGCTGATGCCGTTCTCGGGCAAACCCTGAGCAGCTGATGCTCATGATGCTCGCTTGGTGGCCCGTGCTCACACAAACTCTGAGCAAGTGATGCTCATGATGGCCCGTGCTTGGGCAAACCCTGAGCAGCTGATGCTCATGATGCTCGCAGCAATCCTTCAGCACGAGAAGCAGCCTGTCATGAAGTCTATCGAAGGAGAATGTGCTGGCAAGGCCAGCCGCCTGGCACTTCGAAGGCCCGCTTATTTATTTATATGTCAGTGTCGGGCCACATCCTGGGAGAGTCGCGATGTTGAATGTGAGGTGCAATCTGCGGGTTCAAAAAAAATCTGAGTGATGATTCACTTGGGTATGGCAAGCGTGACAGTTGCTTAGGCTGCTTGAGAAGAGGTTTGGCTCAAAGCTCTGTGCAATCTGTACTAGCCGCCATTCACCTCCAGGTCCAATGACGCTCACCTGCAAAAACCTTTGCACTTTTGCCGCACGCCTTGTCAGCCACTGCGCTGACCTTTGATGCTTTTGAGGTATTCTGCGCCGGGCATGCCCGCTCTCCTTTCCTCTCGCGCACCTCTGGGGCCTTGTGGAGTCCAGCTCTTCAGAGGCAACGGACCTCATGGGATCTCCATCTTGGAATGTTCTCGGCCGTGAATATGGTCCCTACCTGATATGGTCGGAATAAACGAGGCAATGCAGCAGCCCCCAGACTACCGGCATGTGGCTGTGAAGTGTTTGTGGGTATGCCTGGCATATACTCGCAGGTGGGCAACAATTGCCACACATGCAGCCTGCCGTTCCTCTACACTTCGTGTCCCAGGTGCGAAGCATGAACTGCAGGAAGTGGCCTGAGCTCAGGTTGTGTGTGCAGATATGTGCAGGCCCCCGCTCCCATCCTGACTCCCATCGCTCCATGCCCTTCCAAAGTGAGGTTTGGGGAGGCCTGACTCTGTAGCATCCTATACTGGACCTATACTCACTTTGCTGGGGAGGAGAGTGGGCCTGGGAGAGGGAAGGAAGGCAGGCAAGATTTATCTTGAACTCCGTTGTGGTAGCTGTGCTGGCATTGATGAGCTGAATCAGACACATTCAGGCGCTGCAGCATCTGTTGTAATCCCATCGAATCTAACCAACATATAAGTAGCATGAGGCTGTGCTGAACTCCGAGGTTGGACACCCAGAGCGGCGACGTCGCATGGTCCTGCGCTCAGATGTATCTCGAAAATCGACGCGACTTTCTTCAGGACTGTCGCGTGTGGACAGGCAGTGATGACAAAATCCGCGCTGCTGCGAAAAAAGATCCTCAGCATTGTCCCACCGGTCAAGGGACAGGAGCTCAGTGGGCCGAACAGCTTTATGGCTTTGTTGATTTCGTTCCCGATAGGCGGCCGAAAAGAGTTTGCTGAAGCCACGCTTCGCCTGTGGTCTGACGGTGTGCTGTCTTTGTTCAAGTTTATTCAGCGGGGTAGGGTCTATAGCAGAGTGGCGGAAGCCGCAATGGGATCTTGCGGCTTGGGAGGGTGGAGTGTGAGTTTATTGCTACCAGTATTATGATTATTCCTGTATGTGTTTGCGTATTTCTATATGTATGTATGTATGTATATATATATATGTATGTATGTATGTGTA